TACATAGGGGACTGCGAATAAAACCGCATAAGTTTCGTTACCATAGTAACCACACGGAGGCTTCTGATTGGTCGCAATTGAGATATTGTTTGATTTCGATGAAAATTAGTATATAGGGGTATTAGGGGACTGTAAATTCAATCGCATACTATCCGTTGCCATAGCAACTACACAAAGGCTTCTGATTGGTCGAAATTTAGAAATTTAGTATGTACATTGTAGGTGTACTATGGCAATGCGATCCTTTTCTGATGCATCTTTGCGACTATGGGGGCAGTTTGGGGGACATCTGTAATGGTCCCCAATTACAATTAGTACGTGTTGCTGTAGATATTGTTAAGATGTTGCAACCAAATTCCTTATGCACATTCATTTCATGCTAAGTTTGCCAACCGATGTGATTTGTGCATATTTACGGATAATCAGTGAGGTATAGGGCTTTTAAGTTTTAAGCTATACATTATGTCTCAACAGCACGATACTCACATGTTTAAACCTAACCTCAATAATGTTAACCTACAATATGTCCTGCAAGCGGGGGATATAAATTCCACGAATTTGCTTGTTTGACTACCAAATTGTTCGAGAAACCGGTTACAAAAATGTATGTACCCTTCCAGAGCAATGATGTCACATCTGCTTTGTAGTAAGTTCAAGTTGTGAACAAAATTGTGTCCTTTGTTCCTTTGGCCAAAGAAAGGTGTCCTTTGTTAGATATCACTTCCAAATTATTTTGTATACGGTGTATCTCGCGCAAATTGACTTTTGAAAACGTCTCTATGTTTAGGATATTTAGTGGAATTAAAAGTATATGAATAATAGATAAAAAGATAAATACAGGTACTGCCAACAAAAGAAGTGGTAGCATATGTGTTAAATCTGTAATAATAATAATAATAAATAATTACAACATTTATATAACGCCCTATGTAATTTGTAAAATTACTCTAAAGCGCTTTACACCATATGGATAATAGTATTATATATAATTAGTTTTAATTGTGGAACAAAAACAAAGGCTTACTATCACTTTTATACATTCAGCAAGCAGATAATCATAGCAATGTGCACATAAATGAATAAACAAAGGGTGGTATTAAAATAACGTCTTTGCAAAGAGTCAAAACATGAAGAGGTGAGTTTTGATGTCTATCTTGAATTTTTCCAGGGTATTTAACTTTCTAATAGCAGATGGTAAGCTATTCAACAACGTGGCTGAAACCCTCCTAAAGCACCGGTTTCCATAGGTCAAAGTACGAGATTTTGGGACACACAACAATGATTCCGACTCCGACCCTTTGTCGTACAGGTAACCAGTGCAATGAATATAGCACAGGTGTGATGTGCTCTCTCTTTCGAGTACGAGTAACCAGCCGGGCTTCAGTGTTCTGAACCCTCTGCAGACGACTAGTTAGTTTGTCGGATATACCACAGAGCAGGCCGTTACCATAATCCAACCGACAGGTAACACGTGAATGCACCAGCATACTGCATGCATCTGCAGTTATAAACTGTCGGATACAGCCGATGTTCCTGATCTGGTAGTAACAGTATTTGGCTATAGCGTTCAATCAAAGTATACCCCTAGGTTTTTAACAGATTGGACAGTCTAAATAGTTCTGGCACCGACCTTGAGCTGGAGAGCCATTGTTTGCTGAAACTTTGGGGAAAAGACGATTAGTTTCGTCTTTTCCGGATTAGGCTTTAGAATGTTTGCGTTCATCCAGGTACTGATATCTGTCAAATAAGCTTTCAGGTTTTCTGTTATTGTATCCCAACTGTCCTGTGGTTTGATGACCATGTAAATTTGTGTGTCATCAGCAAAGCAATGATAGCGAAGGCTTTGGCGACGGCAAATCTCTCCGATCGGATTAGAGTACTGGCAATATTTTCGTGGTCCTAACACCGACCCTTGTGGAACACTGAACCTAGTATTTGTTTCTTGTGAGGTGGTACATCTGATGGCAACACACTGTTGTCGTTAACTCAGATAATAATAATAATAATCATATACAGCATTTATATAGCGCCCTATATAATTTGTAAAATAACTCTAAGGCGCTTTACAACATATGGATAATAGTAATGGTTATAATTGTGAAAACAAACAACAAAGGCTTGCAATCACTTTCATACATTTAACAAGCAATGTGCACATAATTGAACAAATAAAAGGGTGGTATTTACATGACGTCTTTGCAAAGATTTTAAAATACAGACGTGAAAAGGTGAGTTTTTATGTACCTCTTGAACTTGGCCAGGGTATTCGACTTCCTAATAGCAGATGGAAAGCTATTCCACAACGCAGCCGAAACCCTCCCAAAACATCTGTTTCCGTAGGTCACAGTACGAGATTTTGGGACACACAACAAAGATTCTGACTCCGACCGCAGTGATCTTGACGGCTGATACAGGGTAACAAGTTCCTGTAGGTACTGAGAAGCTGTTCCATTCAGTGCCTTCTATGTGTATACCAGAAATTTGTACTGCGACCTGTATCGTACAGGTAACCAGTGCAACGAATAAAGCGCAGGAGTGATGTGCTCTCTCTTTCGAGTACGAGTAACTAGCCGTGCTGCAGTGTTCTGAACCCTCTGCAGACGACTAGTTAGTTTGTCAGATATACCACAGAGCAGGGCGTTACCATAATCCAACCGAGAGGTAACAAGAGGAATGACCAAAATCTTGCATGCATCTGCAGTTAGAAACTGCCGAATACAGCCGATGTTCCTGATCTGGTAGTAACAGGATTTGGCAATCGCGTTCACTTGTTTCCCCATGTTCAGAGAACTTTCAAAGTAAACCCCTAGGTTTTTAACAGCTGGAACAGTCTCAATAGTTCTGGCACCAACCTTGAGCATGAGAGTCATTGTTTGCTGACACTTTGGGGAAAAGACGATTAGTTTCGTCTTTTCCTGATTAAGTTTAAGCATGTGGGCGTTCATCCAGATACTGATTTCTGTCAGACAAGCTTCCAGACTTTCTGAGACTGTATTCCAACTGTCCTGTGGTTTTATGACCATGTAAATTTGTGTGTCATCAGCATAGCAATGATAGCGAAGGCAATGGCGACGACAAATCTCTCCAATCGGTTTGGAGTACATACAATATTTTTGTGGTCCTAACACCGACCCTGGAGGAACCCCGAAATCTAGTACTTTGTCATGTGAGGTCGCAGATTCGATGGCAACACACGGTCGTTGTTCACTCAGGTATGACTGTATCCAGCATAGTGCGGTATCAGTCACTCCATAAGAGTATTCCAGACGTTTATAAAGTATGCCATGGTCGATGACGTCAAATGCAGCTGACAAGTCCAGCATGACAAGCACCGCTCTGCACTTGTTATCCAATGCAGAAGCTATATCACTATGTACACGTAGGAGGGCCGTCTCAGTAGAGTGTCCCATGCGGTAGGCCGATTGCATGTTGTCATGGAGACTGTTTGCATGGAGATGAACCTCTAAACGCCGGGACACAACCTTCTCCAATATCTTAGATAGAAAAGGCAGATTTGATACTGGGCGGTAGTTCTTCAATTCCTCCTTGTCCATTCCAGACTTCTTCAACAATGGTCTAACATGTAGCTTCTTGAAACACCATGGAACCTTTGACTCAGCCATTGATTTGTTCATGATTGAGGTAATCAAGGAAAGCAGTGCTTCCCGACATTGATTTAATAGGTCTGTAGGCAGTGGATCAAGCTCACAGGACTTCGATTGCGTGGTCACAATGATATTGCGCAACTCGTCCTGGGTTGTTGGTGAGAGCTTTGTCTATGGTTCCCCGTCAAATTTAATGTCAGCAGTCATGACAGAGATATCATTGTCAGCAGTAGAGTTCGCTTCCGACATATTTTTCCTGATCGAGCTGATTTTATTCAGAAAGTAATCACTGAACTTGTTCGACAAGTCTTTTTCAGAATAACAGCTTGGTAGGACAATTTCACCTTTCTGAACTGTTAAGTTTTAATGAGTCTAAAAAGCTGTCTATGGTCCTTACCACATTCTTCAAATGGCGTAACAATCAATACCTGCTCCCAAGAGAAGATAACTCTGCAATACGCAAAGACGGAATATCTTTATGTTAAGATTGCCAGATGTTGAAACAGTTCATTTTAGAATATCCTCCCTCACTGTGGTTGATGGTCACCTCTGACCATCATTTTACAGAAGTACAGCATTCCTTGTCACTTCAATCATGTCCCCACGCATACACCTGTATGACAATGTAGGTAGATTTAGTTTTATAAGCCTTTCCTTCATATGGTTATTTGTGTAGTCCATAGTCCAGGTAAGCATCTAGTGGCTCGACATTGCACATTTCCAATTAAATCAGTATGTTTGTATTTATAATGAAACCAGACTGCACTTTCATAATCGAGTTGCGATCAGAAAAGACATTTGTATAAAGATATAAAAAGTTGTATGTCCATAAAATGTAAGGCTCTTTTTAGAATGGCAAAAAATGACTTGGCTTTCTTCACTTTTTCACTGATGTGGTTTTCAAACTTTAAGTCCGGCTCTATAATTACTCCAATATCTTTAGCAGTCAATAGCATGTCCTTTATCAAGTGCGTCCGTCCATTTATCCAAAACTTCAAGTAACGAGGGAGTTTGACCTTCCAGATATAAAACCATATTGATTGCTAAAAGATATCTATTTATCGTCATGTGATATTTTCTTTTACAAAACATTCCAGGAATTTACATACAACCGGTGTCGAACTTATTTCTGGCACTATCTTTGTTATCATCAGTAAATGTAACCAATTAAACAAGTAACAGTTATTTCATTAGCAGACATATATACATGTTATCATGATCATCACAGTATCGAGACATTTTCTAGCAATTGTAACTCCGTCTATTTCAGTCGATCAGTTATCGTTAGTTTCCTCTCCTCGTCTGCTTGTAACAGGTGTAATACATCGTATATAAAACGTAGTATCGGTGACAACAACTGATGTGTATGTATGTGCCTTTCTCTTTTCCTACTAGGTGTCGTGTAAATAACGAAAATGTTACCACCAACCTGTCTAGTCCGGCAATTGTCCAGTCCGTGTCTTCCTGTGACGTCACACTATACTACAACGACACTAACACAACACAGACAGAGACTTGTTCCTCCTGGACATACAACACTGACCGCTTAACGAGCTCACCTATTTCGGATGTAAGTGTGGTCTTAGACCTGTAAACTAGTACAAATGTACTTTAGTTATGACTCGCTCCAGTATGGTGGTTTGATCTTTGGCCCTTAATTGAATGTATGATTTTTAGTTTGACCGTTTACCTGTACATCAACATTCATTAAAGGACCACATATGAGAAGCCGTGATTTCTTGAAAAAGCAATGGACAACTGAAATAACTACCGATGGGAACATTCAAAGTGGTCGCAGACGATCTCTAAATAACACATTTGAATGTAACTCAATATCTGTTCCTTAGATGGTAATTTTACCTGTTAATCACTGTGTTGTTAATTGACATTTGACCTATATTTCAGTATTGACATTGCAGATTGACTTGTAAATTAGTCTTGTTATTGTAATTTTACCTGCAATGAATCAGCTTAAATATATGATGACAAATGACCTTCAACACAGATTTTTTTGTGGATTGACTTTTGATCTGTATTTCTCGGACATGTACCTCAATGTATATATTTAAGTTTCACATGATAATTAGCAAATGTGTTGCAGTTTGATCTATTGCTTTTAACTGAGTATGTCTGATTGTCTCTTACCTGTAAACCAGCTTCCAGTTTGTTTCGTTCCTTGATCTGCCAGTAAATCTCTTTGATATAGTTTGGTCTGGTATGCAAAGACAAGATATTGCGGACACACGCCAGTATGGCCTTTTTAGGAGGTAACCTGGCAGGAGCTCTCGTGCTCGGCGCCGTCGGCGACACGTACGTTCATTTATCTTTACAGTACATGTTTTGCGTATTGAGAACGAGATGGTGACGGTCTTAGTGTAATCTCTCTTGCAAATAATTTCATGTTATCTTTCATGCAACACACAAAAACATTACTAACGTTTTGAAACAGACTAGTTGGGACAGTATATAGAAATTGGCGTAATCATGCATGTTTAGAATGCGAAGATATATCGGCCACTTTATTCTTATTTTATCACTTTTCTCCTCATAATGCATGTAATGAAGACGGATGTTTAAGATAGAGTAAGATGGTGGATCCGAGTGAGTAAGAGGAAACTTGCGCGTTTATCTATATCTTCTACATCTCATTAAAAGTATACCAGCAAATCCACGTCGATATGTACGATGTATTCTCATTGCTGTATAACAATGTATGGATATGTTTGTGTGTGATGTAAACCCATTGTTATATAACCATGTTTTAATGATCGTTTCTATTCGTTCATCAGATTCGGTCGGAAACCTGTGGCCTGTTTTAGCATCTTCTTCCTGGTGTTTTCGTCGATAGCGTGCACTTGGTCAAACAACTTTTATATGTATGTCATCATGAGATTTCTGTCTGGAACTGGGAGTAACATAGCGGGTATCAAAATCATAGGTAAATAACATAGCGTGTATCAAAATCATAGGTAAGGAACATAGCATGCATAAAAATGATAGGTTAGTAGCATACGGGATAGAAAAAATATAGAAAAGTAACAAAGCGTGTATAAAAATCATCGGTAAAACATAGCGTGTATCAAAATCATGGATAAGAAACAAAACGTGTACCAAAATTATAGGAAGGTTACATAGCTTGTAGCAAAATCATATGCAAGTAACATAGCTTGTACTAAAGTCAGAGGTAAGTAAAATCACGTGTATGAAAAGCAAAAGCTGATATAAATTGTATACAAATCATAATCAAATTAACATCATGTATATATATCAATTGTAAGTAAAACAGTATTGCACAGGTAATTAAGTTTATAAATATGAATCTAAATCAAACGTAAGTAATAAAGCATGTATCTAAATCACAGGTAGATATTTTAGCATGTAACTAAATCGTAGATAAGTGATGCAACGTGTCTATGAATGACTGGTAAGTAAGTGATAGCTATGTTTCCTGGCGTTATCTGTACATGTTACAGCTATAGAGATGGTCGGCCCGTCCTGGAGAGCGTTGGCGGGTATCTCCACTGAGGTAATCTTCTGTGTGGGGGAGGTAATCCTGTGTGGACTCGCCTACTTCATACGAGACTGGAGGTGTCTACAACTTGTTATCTCAGCCCCTGGTGTTATCCTGCTCCTATATTGGTTGTAAGTCTGTATAATATATAACATTTATGCAATTAGTAATTGACCTAAATTTTTAGACGTACTTCAAGTATGCAGCAGATCTGACCAATCTTGTTGGCAATCACACAAATAAACATGTACCAGTAGGCAAAACTGAAACATTGCAGTCATTTTAGCATTTGTTCCTGATACACTTGCAACATAGCTTAATCAGTGTATCGTGTATTTCACAATAATGCATTCAAGCTTCTGAAAATAATCTTTCTTAACACCCTTTGAAATGAAATAGGTAACACCACATATATATATTAGACTCACTTTGAAGTGTTATCTCTAACTGTGCTGTTCCAATAGATATGATAACTAATAAGTATAGCAGAATGAACGGTAATGTTAAATGATAGAACATCCATGTCTAAAGGGTTTAAACGAAGGTCAAATGATAGAACATCCATATCTAAAGGGTTTAAACCAAGGTCAAATGATAGAACATCCATGTCTAAAGGGTTTAAACAAAAGTCAAATGATAGAACATCCATGTCTAAAGGGGTATAAACGAAGGTTAAGTAATAGAGAATCCATGTCTAAAGGGTTTAAACGAAGGTCAAGTAATAGAACATCCATGTCTAAAAGGGTTTAAACGAAGGTCAAATGATACAATATTCATGTCTAAAGGGGTTTAAACAAAGGTCACATGATAGAACATCCATGTCTAAAGGGGTTTAAACGAAGGTCAAATGATAGAACATCCATGTCTAAAGGGGTTTAAACAAAGGTCACATGATACAACATCCATGTCTAAAGGGTTTAAACGAAGGTCAAATGATACAACATCCATGTCTAAAGGGGTTTAAACAAAGGTCACATGATAGAACATTCATGTCTAAAGGGTTTAAACACAGGTCAAATAATAGAACATCCATGTCTAAAGGGTTTAAACACAGGTCAAATAATAGAACATCCATATCTAAAGGGTTTAAACACAGGTCAAATAATAGAACACCCCTGTAAAAGAGTTTAAACAAAGGTCAGATAATAGAACATCCATGCAAAAGAGTTTTAACTAAGGTCAAATGATAGAACATTCATGTCTAAAGGGTTTAAACAAAGGTCAAATAATAGATCATCCATGTCTAAAGGGTTTAAACACAGGTCAAATAATAGAAAATCCATGTCTAAAGAGTTCAAACATAGAACAAATGTTTGTGTCTTAATTTTTTTATTGTCATGGGTTAATGATGGTTAAGCCTTATAACCTTGGTGATCGGACAAAACACGGTACCATTCGTGGTTAACAAGATGCAAAACATTTTCTACTTGTTTCACACTCGGAAAAGATTTTAAAGATTTTAACTCTTTTCTTTAACACAACATCAAACGAAACTCACGATATTTTTTTCTTTATCTGGAAATATGTATTCGGTAATTTTATAGTATTCAAAAATAATAACTATAACCTAATGGGGACCTTTAATCATTTCTGAGATTTATTGGACATAGTTTCCTTACTTAATACAGATTGTGTGCTTGATTTAATTTGTAGTGTTCTTCCAGAATCAACGCGATGGTTGTTGTCGAGGGGCAAATTGGAGGAAGCTAACGAAACGCTCCGTAAAATTGCCAAAATGAACAAACGCCAACTCCCTAAGGATTTTGATATCAAACGAACCAACGAAAAGAAAAACGTCGGAATTCGAGAGATAGCACCATTGTTCAGGTCCAGGAAACACCTGATCCGATGGCTTATTAACATGTTCCTGTGGTACGTTAATTTAACATGTTCCTGTGGTACGTTAATCTAACATGTTCCTAGGGTACGTTAATTTAACATGTTCCTGGGTTACGTTAATTTAACACGGTTCTGTGGTACATTACTTTAACATGTTCCTGTGGTACGTTAATTTAACACGGTTCTGTGGTACTTTGATTTAACATGTTCCTGTGGTACGTTAATTTAACATGGTTCTGTGGTACGTTACTTTAACATGTTCCGCGGGTACATTACTTTAACATGTTCCTGTGGTACGTTAATTTAACATGTTCCTGTAGTACATTACTTTAACATGTTCCTGGGGTACGTTACTTTAACATGTTCCTGGGGTACGTTACTTTAACATTTTCTGTGGTACGTTAATTTAACATGGTTCTGTGGTACATTACTTTAACATGTTCCTGGGTACGTTAACTAAACATGTTCCTGCGGTACATTACTTTAACATGTTCCTATGGTACGTTAATTTAACATGTTCTTGTGGTACATTACTTTAACATGTTCCTTGGGTACGTTAAGTTAACATGTTCCTGGGTACGTTAATTTAACATGTTCCTGTGGTACATTACTTTAACATGTTCCTGGGTACGTTACTTTAACATGTTCCTGTAATACGTTACTTTAACATGTTCCTGTGGTACATTGATTTAACATGTTCCTGTGGTACTTTAATTTAACATGTTCCTGTTGTACGTTAAGTTAACATGTTCCTGGGGTAAATTACTTTAACATGTTCCTGTGGTACGTTAATTTAACATGTTCCTGTGGTACATTACTTTAACATGTTCCTGGGTACGTTAATTTAACAAGTTCCTGTGGTACATTACTTTAACATGTTCCTGTGGTACGTTAAATTAGCATGTTCCTGTGGTACGTTACTTTAACATGTTCCTGGGTTACATTACTTTAACATGTTCCTGTGGTACGTTACTTTAACATGTTCCTGTGGTTCGTTAATGAATCATGTTCCTGTGGTACTTTAATTTAACATGTTCCTGTGGTACGTTAATTTAACATGTTCATGTGCTACTGTGGTACGTTATTTTCTCAAACTGCGTGGTTTTAGTTTTACGATCGAATAAACTTCAGAGAAGATTCATTGCATACGGAACTTTTATTTTTTCATTCTCTTTGATTTATTACTCCTAAGTAAAAACCCATCACGCTGTCAGCATCTTTGCATGTTATACTGATCTATATTTTTGACGACAGTTTGGTATTGAGGTATAAGCCCACTACGCTCATTTGACACTGCCTTCTACGATAACCGTGTTTTGCTAACAAATTGAAATATTTATATACTGATATTCATTGTATATGATACAAACTATGATCTTGTGACATTCTCAGCCATATGATATTTTAGTTTTTTAATTAGTGGTTTTTCATTATGTGTACCCGCAGGTTTGTCTTAGCCACTTCGTATTATGGGCTCACCTTCCACGTGGGAACACTAGGTGGGAACGTCTACTTGAACTTTCTGATATTCGCTGTTGTGGAATCCGCCGGCGCCTTTGTAACACTATATCTCAACAACCGATTCGGCCGGAAACTTCTGAATAGTGTCGCCTTGCTTTTAACATTTCTCCTCTCTGTGTTGTCAATGGTTGCCTCGTTGTACGTGAAAGACGGTAAGTAAAACGGCATTCAGCCACTGTGTGGTGTGTCTCTGTTGTCAATGGTATCTCAGTAAGTCACAGATCCAGATTAACTTTTGTCGATTTGTGATGTCAATGGTAATAATTGTGTGTTGAGGACGATCCATTCATTGTATACGATCAATTCATATCGAGAATGGGTAGTGTTCATACACACCAATGAAATGGTAGACTTAGATGGTCAAATGGAAACCTTCACTCCTGTTGAGTGAGATAGGGAATCTTGATCCCAAAGAGAGACTCGTTAATCCTTCCTGGGAGTTAAGATCCCCTATATCATCATAACGATGGTAATGGTTACTCTTCTTTTGTGCTGTTGACCGTCTTATGATATGACATCAAACAAAATTCCTAACTGGCAATCAGCTTACCTCAACCCGAGAAAAGAACATCTCATACTGGAAAATGCGTGGTTTTGCCTGTCAAGGTAAAAGAATGTTTAGTCTGATCAACTTTTTCGGAAGTTTCATAGTAGGTCAATATGTTAAAAAAAATGTCCACAAAAGAAGGCAACGGAGAAGCGTTTTAAGTGATGATGCTTGCGTTGAGTTGGAGGATAAGCGTAGTTATAATGCTTATACTGTGCATTGTAACGTTACGGGTTTTACAGAGACCACGAGGCGATGGATCCTGATGGGATCGGCGACCGTCGGCCGGATGAGTGTTTCGGGGGACTTCGCTAACGTGTTCATCTTCACCAGTGAGATGTTTCCAACCTCAATTAGGAGCTTCGTCGTTGCCACAGCCAATGTGTCAGGAATGATCGGTGCCACTGTGGCACCATACATCGCCGACCTGGTAAGAATACCACAGAGATCGCGCTTTACAAAGTCTGTTACTTTGGCTTACCTCCTCCCTTTTCCTTTTTTTTTGTCATACGGATAATATAGTTCAGATATCCTGTTACCTGTTCTAAAGGTAAATATAAATTCCATATGATATACACATTCAGCCATAGTGTGTCTGCCGATAATTCAGCAAGGCTTCTTTGTACGTTGTTGTTCTCAAATCGTTTGCTTGCCTTTTCGACTCAATCAGATTATTTAGGACAATTGCGCCATAACACTTTTGTCAGTACTAATCGCAGATGACGTGTTCAGAAAAGAAACCGATATGGTAGAAGAGAAAAGACAATACGTTAGTCTATGAAGAATACATAAATAATCCGAATATGCAACTGCGTTGGCCAAGAGCAAGATCAATGCCAGTCACGTGTGATTCGTCATATTAATAGTTTTATTTTATATTCCAGGGAAATCTGGTTGATACGAGATTCGAAACAGCCCTACCATACGTAATATTTGGTGTACTAGCTTTGATAGCTGGACTTCTCTCCCTTGCTTTACCGGAAACACTTCATAAACAGCTACCAGAAGACATGAAAGATGTTAACGTTAGTGTTACTAAAGCTTCCAAACGTTTCACAACCATCCAACCTAGTGACACCATCCAACCTTGTGACACCATCCAACCTTGTGACACCATCCAACCTTCCACTAATGGAACGACAGCCACGGAATTAAGAATGGTGCACTTTGATTCAAAGGGATGAAAACCCTGATAATGTTCTGTGTGTGATTTTTATCAAACTATATGTGCAATGTGCAAACGTTTTCGACCCATTCAAAACTTTGCAGCTATTGTAGTATCGAGATATACAGGTTCGATGTACCAAAGGCGTATACTTACGTACAAGTAGACTGTGATAGATTGTGCTTTTAGCGTTAAGTACACGTACCAATGAACTCTGTTATGCATTGGCGTTAAAGTACCAATGAACTGTGTGTTTGTATTGGAATTAACATTTCCAATTACCGGTGTGTTTGTGTTGGCTTTAAAATGTCCAATTACCCGTTTTATTGGCATTTAGAGTTCGAATGAATATTGACGTTAACGTTGCAATGGACTATGTTTTTGTATTGGCATTTGAATTACAAATNTTGGGTTTTTTTTTTTTTTTTTTTTTTTTATATATATATTGGCGTTAATTTACCGATGAACTGTGTTTTTGTATTGGCGTTGAAGTACCAAGAACTGTGTTTTTGTATTGGCGTTGAAGTACCAAGAACTGTTTTTTTTGTATTGGCGTTGAAGTACCAAGAACTGTGTTTTTGTTTTGCATTTGAAGTTCAAATAAACTGTGTTTTTGTATCGGCGTTAAAATCACCAATGAACTGTGTTTTGTATTGACGTTAAAGTTACCAATGAACTGTGTTTCTGTTTAAGCGTTAAGGTACATTGTATGAATGAACTGTTCTATGTATGTTTTTGCGTTAAAGTACCAATGAACTGTTTTTATATATGTTGATCAACATGCATTATGATGTATAGTGCTGAATGATAACATTATCGTATTTAAATCTGTTTTGCCAATGATACAAGTATTTTACACTATTGCACTCCATGGTACGTTTGTTTGGTTGTACTGTATCCAAATATATTCAGTATAACTGAGGAAAAGTAAATGATACCGTTTAGTAAAACAAACATTGTTTACATTATCACTATTATGACATTATTGATTGTCATTTAATACAGAAATCTTTCGTGTTATTCATTTTACAGAAAAAGTTGTTTGAAATTTGAGTATTTGAAAAAAGGGCGGAAGTACAAATATAGCAGGGGTCAAACTCAGGACTTTAAGATGTTGGTACCAGGAATTATTATTGCAAACGGTTACAACGTTTTGAGAAATGAATATCCTACCAAGGGGAATAACTCTAAGTCAGAAAAAGGGCTCCATTCAGTTGCTTATTAGCTCTGAAATAGAACTTTTCTTCCCGATAGCATATACACTGTATGTTCAAACAATGTTATGTGATATTTAGTAGTCCGGTATAAATTTTCACAAGTAAAAGAAACAACATTTAAGGACACTTTTACTTCGGAGACAGCACTAGTTTTCTACATGTACATTTAATATGAAAGATTTTTAGAACGTTAGGCACATTAATTCCAACTCGTTCATTACATTCCTGTACCGTGTTAGCACATCATGATCAGTTATACAATAACGATATACACCGTATAACGAAACTGTACGGTGTTAGCACATTGTGGTCAGTTATGCATTGGTTGTTGGCGGGAGCCGCCTACAATATAACGATCCACACTTATGCAACACACAAAATACAAATGTTGCATCTTCATCTCTTTAAAATATATGTTGTTTGCTAAATTATAAGTCAAATTTGACTAGACTCTTTACATTAAACGTAGAAAGTATTCACCAAGCAAGAACAAATTAATATCGCTATATCATTACTTGACATTTTTATTAAGAGAAAAGGGTGATACTTCCACCGTAATGTGTATAGCTGTTTAGAACATTCAACAACATTAGTTTTAGTGTGCTCTAACAACAACATTTTCTTTTTTAAAGATACAGAAGTCTCTTGAAATCATCATAGAGCTCGTCTTGGTTTGAGAAACTGGAATTGTCAAATCGCTGTGTGAGAGCCGGTGTG